TGCTGCCTGCCTGCCTGCCTGCCTGCCTGCCTGCCTGCCTGCCTGCCTGCCTGCCTGCCTGCCTGCCTGCCTGCCTGCCTGCCTGCCTGCCTGCCTGCCTTCCTGGCAGAAGGTGACAAGTTCCCTCCAACAATCGGAGCTCTGAAACAGCACATCTTGAGAGTCCATATCCAAACACGGTTGTTGGGAAAGGCAGCCATAGCTCAGCAGGATACACAGTTGGATCCCCTGGAAAATGGGTACTTCAAAGACTCGGATGGTCAGCTAAAACCTACCACCACAGAGGTCCTTCCAGCTCCGAAAGCCATTGTCGAGATGGTGAGATGTCAGTGCAAATCAGACTGTTCCTCTGCTAGGTGCACTTGCAGAACAAAGAACTTAGCCTGTACAGATCTGTTAGTGTGGCAGCCACTGCCAGAATGATGAGGACTCTCAAGACATCACGTACGAAAGTGACAATGATGATGATGACGTTGAGGTTTAGAAACTGTCAAAAGCCATGCAAGAATTCAAGTTAACATTCCATTACACTGAAACCATATGTGCATGTCTGTAAAACAATCAATAAAAGAAAAAAATTCTGTATTAAAATCCAGTTTGGTAAGACTTAGCCAATTTGTTTTGGTGCCATTGGATTCCTTGCCCTTGAAAATGTAGATTTAGGTGTTGAAATCAAAGTCCTAGCTTATTCWGAAGCTGAGAAATCACAAAATTTAGGTTTTTCGGACGCCATTTTGAAAAATCCAAGATGGCCACCATGCAGACACCTGTGCAAATGGAAACATTGGTTTTCTGATTTCTTATACAATCTACTTTTCAAGAAAGTTAAAATCCAAACATAATGAACCTGACTACTATGTCATAAAGTTGATCCTGCTTTGTTCCAAGGATTTTTGTGTCCTATGCAGGTGTTTGTAAAATACTGACAACTGCAGTACAGCAGGCATGATATTTCATTTCAAAGTCAGAAATGTAATGGACTGCATTGTGCACTGATGCTTGCTGTTCCTGACTCAGGATGAGTTGAGGTGGCTCGACAGACACAGCTGGGAAGTCTTCCTCATTARGTGTTGCTGCATGCTGAGCTAGGATAGTCTCAATAATTTTGCTGCTGTGGGGATTTTCCCCAAACACATTGTTGACAGCYGTGTTGTCAGTTTCAATGTTTGTGAGCATGCCCTCTGTCCAAAGTTGAGTAGGTGTGCGATTATTTTCTGTTCGCAAACCATGGTGGTTCCAAGTCTTTCTGAAGTGTTCCAGCCTCTTTTGAATTTCAGGTAGATACACAATATGTAAAGAAAGACTGTGGATATCATTATCTGGGTGGAGATTTTCTGAGTCCTCTAGGCAGTAGAATGTATTGTAAAAAGGCTGAAGCACATGCAAAAATACATCACGCCACAGGCGTTCTATTCGCTGATTAAGAACAGATTCTCCTGTTATGAAGCCTATGTGTTCAAGTCCTTGAACAAGATGCATGAATAAAGCAACAAGCATGTTTTCACCTACATGGTCTGATCTGACTCTTGATGGCAGTCCATAGAGAGATGTTGCCTTCAAAAACTGAGAAAGTACTGTTGTTGCCCTATTGTTTGTACTGCAGCTGAGATACTGTAGGTAATCAGTCGCGAGTGTCCATCGATGGCACCATGTATCACAAAGCCCCATCTGGAAAGTTGGAATAACACAAAATAAAATTATTACATGAAATAAGGGTATGGCCACTTACCTGGAGACCATRTATTAATGCTCAGATACATTGCATCAGAAAAAAACGTGTTTTTAACATTTTTGCTAAGATTTTAATGACTCACAAATCAAAATGTTAATGAAAAAGGTAATTACCATTTCATGCAAAGCAAATATTTGAAAGACTATCAATTTTTGCCTAAAAAATAAGAAAAAAAATAAGAGCAGAAAATGATGCAATAAGTCTTTGTCAATAGATAAAGGAAAAAGAAGCCTAACATCAACACAACTGGTTTGAAGTGAGCTAAAAACTGTTAAATAATTTCATGTTAGCATATTTAACAAAAATGAATAAACTTAGCACAAAAAGCAAGAAAAGTAAAGGTAGTATCTGATTGGCAGCACCTGCAGGTCCCAGAAGCTCAAAGCAAGAGTCAGTAGCAACAGCAAAATAAGTTGTTACAAAAAAAGAAATGATCTCCCAAACACAAATTTCCTTACTTTTTGTGCTAAGGATATTTGTGACCCATCATATCTAAATGAGGATTAAGTCAAATTTGGTCAAAATGACCTAATTACATTTTCAGATTATTGGCTTTAAAAGCTACATTTTGACACCTGGATCATTCTGATATCATAATTAAATCCATTTATATGACTTAATTTAAGGCGTTTTTCCTCAAAATCAGTTTTTTTTTTTTTTTTTTTTGCTACTGCTCAAAAAAGTGCTTCAAAATTTTGTTTTATGATTAAATTTCTGACAGTTCATTCAAATGATACATTAATGAGGCATTTATTCATTATATTTTAAC